TTTTTTTTTTTTTTTTTTTTTTTTAATACACGTAACAAATTTAGGAGACCCAGTAAATCGGTAAAGGTTATAGAACCCCCCCAGAAAAGTTATCAAGTACCAAGTTAACAAATTTGGAGACCCAGTGAATCGGTAAAGGTTATAGAACCTCCCCAGAGAAGTTATAAAACCTCCCCGGACGAAACCTCTTACGGTATTTCAAACGTATAGTAGCAACTTTACGGGTCCACGGAGGAATTCTGACAAAAAAAAAAAAGCCACGTTTTTTTTTTTTTTTTTTAAATAATGTGGACCATTTCTCGATTTATGCGTGCCATGCTAATCTTCTCTGTATTAAAAAAAATAATAATAATAAAAAAAATTATCTGTATCGTTCCATTTTTAACGGATGTCCCGAAGGACAGCGCAGCCTTTTTTGAGGTGTAGCTGAGCAGAAATACGCTTCCATAACGTTTCCGCGGCAAATATACAGCTTGGTACCCCCTTTTGGTTTTGCAATAGAGGCTTGCGTAAGGCCAGGCCAGACATGGAATATTTCTTCGATGCAGCAAGCTGCAAAGTCCATGCATATATGAACAGTGAGCACTCACACAGCATAGAGCACTCGATATAGGTCCTCGCTGCACTACTCTCGACATGCACCAAAGACAAAAATCATGGCGGTGCATCTTTCCATATTCTTGCGGAAGATTCACTCTCGTTTTGCACATTTCGAGAGTGGTGCAGGGAGGCCCATAGTCCACTTTCATCACTCAAAACGAAACTCAGGGCCTCGCCACACTACTCTCGAAACGTGGAAAAGACAAAAATGTGGCGGGTGTATCTGGCCATGTTCTAGAAGGAAGTTCATTCTCATTTTGCACATTTCGAGAGTGATGTGGCGATGCCCTCATACTGCGTCAGGCCAGGCCGACGGGCCATCTGCGACAAAAGAAGGTACCTAGCCGTAAATCTGCGCAAAAAACTTGCAAAAACAGTATTTCTGCAACTTTACAGGTATAATTTTTACGATACTTCCGGGGACCGCAAAATTTGCTACGATACGTTTGAAAACCGGTATGTCTGCAATTTGCCCAGAGCTATTTATAACTCGTCCCCAGTGAATCGACGACCGTTTTCCAGTTCTCTTTCCTGAGTTCCCGCCGCCCCCCCCCTCTCCTCCAGTTCCGCCATAAAGCTCTCATAGCCTCGCCCTTCTCATACAATAAATGATTGGCGGGAAAAAAAAAAGCAATCAATGATTGGTAAAAAAAAAGAAGAAAAAGTTCCCGCTTATTCTACATCTTGACCGTCTCCTCTACGGAGCTTGAAGAGTGGTGGGTACCCATCTGTGGCTCTCACTCTAATCCGCTGATCTCTTTCTCTCACTCTCTCTCACTGTGAGACTACCGTAGGACCCTTCTCTCTCTCTCTCGCGCTAGCTCTGCCCGTGCGTGTGTCTGGGCGCATGTTTTCCGTTTGGAATATGACGAGCATCGGACACGCTGTATATCGTTGTTCTTTGGCGCGTCGGATCGCTCCTTAACACCGGACAGAGTAGAGAGCGCATTGATGTCGGAGTTCGTGTTATTCTTGTCGTGTGAATTTTTTGTACAACGACTTTGATCGCAGACCCTGACCTCTCTCTCTCTCTCTCTCTCTCTCTCTCTCTCTCTCTCTCTCTCTCTCTCTCTCTCTCTCTCTCTCTCTGTGGCTCTACCCTCTCTCTCTCTCTCTCTCTCTCTCTCTCTCTCTCTCTCTCCCTCTCTCTCTCTCGCGCGCGCGCTCTGCGTGTGCGTGTGCACATGTTTTTCTTTCTGCATATGATGAGCATCGGACACGCTGTATATCGTTGTTGTTTGACGCATCGCAATGTTCCGTAACACCGGACAGCGTAGAGATCACGATCTGGTCGCTGGAGATAGTATACATCGACTTTGATCGAACCATCTGACCGTGATTACCACTGAATGTATTCCATGGATTAGAGTGTGAATCTGAGCGTACAAGTGCTTTCTTCTGTCAGTGATCTCTCGAAAACATCGTAGTCGGTCAAGGCTGCTCCCGCCTTCTCAACTTGACGAACACTGCGCGATCCGATCAACGAGATGCGAAAGACACTCTGTGCTCTCGTCCAAACTTCTCCGCATTGATTGGCTGGTCGAGTGAGTGCAGCCTTCTTGCCGATCCTCTGCAGACCGTCGACGTTGATCGACGAAATTATAGTGTGCTCAAATTAACATACTGCCGCTCTTTTTCCCTCATCCACTTGCCTTTGCCGTAGAATATGTAGGCCATTTCCGCACTCGTGATACAATCTGACGAGTGCTCCTATTTGTCATTGTTCTGGGCGGCGGCAGATTTTTACCCTTTTCTAACGCGTTGGATTCTCAAGTCCATGACCATCATCGCCGTCTCTGTGGTGTAAACGGAGCCTACGACAACGTCCGATAGCAAGACGATAAAGGACGATAACGGCCGACCAGCTGGGTCTGTGAAACGGAAGAGGAGACTTTGAGGGAAGCGTCAAGCAACGGGCAAAGGTTTGTACGATGTCCCGCATTCGGCTTCTTCTCGCCTCCGCCTGTTTGCTCGGCGACTAATGATTGCCGCCTGTTCCGCTTGTCCGTCGTTTCTGCTTTTCCTTACCTCCCTCCTGTCTTCCTGTTTTCCCTTTTATCAACACCCTCTGTGGTCTCTGGGTGACGCGCAGTTTCACTCCCCCCCCCCTCCTCTCTCTCTCTCTNCTCTCTCTCTCTCTCTCTCTCTCTCTCTCTCTCTCTCTCTCTCTCTCTCTCTCTCTCTCTCTCTCTCCCCCCCTCTCTCTCTCTCTCCCCTGGTGCTTGACTTATCACTGGTACGTTTCTCAAAATTTAATGGTCCGAGGTATCGTCTTTTCACGGCCAACTTCGTGCTCACAGCCTTTACGGCGTGGGCACGTGTCTCACACGACTGTTCACCGCGCAGTTTGCCACCGTAGCTCGACTTTCGGTTCATYCCGCATCGTCAGTTCTGCTTACCAGAAAAAAAATGGGGCACTCGTGTTTTTCCCTGATCTTGGAGCTCCGCTTTAGCAAGTCCGACATCTCACCTATTTCTCTGGTTTTCCGATGCGCTATACTCTTATGCTCAGGAAGCTCAGCATCCTTATACCGGAGTTCATGGTCTTAACGATTAACGGAACCAACGGTAACGGAAGATAAACGAAATCGGAGACTGAAAGAAAAGCGCCAAGAAACCCGGGCTGGAACAACCCTTCATCGGCGAGGCGCCCGTTCGCATGATATAACTCTCTTTGCTTCTTCTTCCCTCTGTTTGTGTTCTGGGAGGCTGAAGCTACTGGCGTTTTTTTTTTGCGCTTTTCGTACGCGCCGCATTCTCGTGTCTATCACAATTGTGGGAGGGTCCATTGTCCAAACGGAACCGACGATAAGGTAACGATAGCAAAGAATAACGGAATGTAACGTGCGATAACGGACGATAACGGACGTGAGGGGTGAAGATATTGGCGTTCCCCGTTCCGATTTCCCTACGCGCCGCATTCTCATCTCCATCACCGTTGTCACGGGGTCCACGGTCTAAACGGAACGAAGACAACGGCCGATAACGGAGGATAACGGAGTCAACGGACTACTTGATGGTGCCTGGAATCGAAAACCGAGACCGTTAGAGAAACGCCAAGACAGCGGCAGATTAGCACAGGGCTTCGTCATGAATTGCCAGTGCCCACGAACAGCAAAGGTCGGCCGTGTTCGTCGCGAATGGGAGTGGCCCATTGGGCACATGAAGATCTGCGGACAGATTAGCAAGGCAGAGTGAAGGCGGAGGAGACGTAGTGGATAATGCGGGCGGGAGGAAACGGTAAGGAGGCAATAAGGTATGTTGGTAGGGAAGAGAACAGAGAAATAAATAGACCTGTAGCAGACAGTTGAGGGGTATTTAGTCTAGATGGATACCCGCGGATGAAAGCGGACGCCTGTAGACAGGTTGACCAAGAAGAGTGAAGGAAAAGAGGGTTTGGGAGAGGGAGGACAGTAGTTGGCGGGAGAGGGGCACGCGGAGGGAGAGACGAAAAGCTGTAGAGAAATAGACACGCATACAAAATGACATGGATTGCTTGATTGAAAGATGAATGGATAGATAGATGGACTCGATCATCGGTGTCTCGTTTAGTCAGCGATCCATCCATCGGTCAACAGAGAGACGGTGGGCTAGATCAGTAGATAGATAAAGAAATAGGCCGATAGATAGATAGATAGATAGATAGATAGATAGATAGATAGGTAGGTAGAAAATGGATCGAGTGATGCGGGCATGTGACAGAGGTACAACTCGAGAAATAGACACGCATACAGAAGAAAGGGAAGGATTGATAATGGGATGAGTGCATAGATGACTAATCGATCCATCGGTGTCTGTCTTAGTTCATCAATCCATCCATCGATCAACAGAGAGGCGGTGGGGCAGATTGTTAGATGGACAAATAGGCAGATAGATAGATAGATAGATAGATAGATAGATAGATAGATAGATAGATAGATAAATAGATAGATAGATGGATAGAATCCGATAGATCGATAGATATGGTCTGATGGATGAAGGCAGGTGGGTTGATAGAAAGGATGGATAGATAGATCATCTCGATAGGCCGACCGTTAGACTTTACCATCCATCCATCAATGCAAGGCTCAAAACGTAGACAGAAGGAGACATATTTAAACCTATGTCCCAAGGCGCACACACACACACACACACACCTGTCTCTTATACACATCTAGATGTGTATAAGAGACAGGGTTATAGAACCCCCCCAGAAAAGTTATCAAGTA